TACCTACAATATTAGAACCAAGACAGACCACGTGATACTTGTACTAGTACGGTGTGAAAACGGCTGGAGTTACTGTTATAACATGTCTGCGATGGCTAGTAACGTCTCTAATTGCACCACTTTGTGCGATATTCTGGATAAAACTACAAACTTGACAGATTACGCAGCCCCAACATATTATTCGTTGAATTATCGAATTGTGGGGACCATTTTTCAAGGGATCATCTTTGTTGTGGGGGCACTTGGCAACATCATGGTTGTCATAGTCGTAACTAAAACCCGCAGTATGCACACCCCTACTAATTGTTATCTCGTCAGTCTGTCCCTAGCTGATCTCATGGTTTTGGTAGCTTCCGTACCCAACGAGGTTCTATCCTATTACTTGCTGGGAGACGAATGGATCTGGGGCAGAGCTGGTTGTGTTATCTTCATCTTTCTCCAGTATCTAGGCATCAATGCCTCGTCTTTATCCATCACAGCTTTCACAGTAGAACGCTACATCGCCATCTGCCATCCCATGAAGGCCCAGATGGTCTGTACCGTTAATAGGGCCAAAAAGATTATCATCGGAGTTTGGGTGGTCGCCTGCATCTACTGCTCCCCCTGGCTTTTCCTCACCAAGACTGTACCTATATTCTACAAGGGTCAAGAGAATATGGAAACGTGTACTTTTGCCCTCTCCAGGGAACACTACCTGGGTTATTTCTTTGCCGATCTCGTTCTATTCTACATCTTTCCGTTGCTGCTGTCCTGCGTGCTGTACGGACTGATAGCAAGAATCCTCTTCACAAACGATCTCAGCAAAAGTTTTGGGAAAAGAAACCAAACCGACACAGCTTCAGACTGGAAGAAGAATAGTAACACCAGTGCCCGAGTACAGGTAAGACAGAAATCTACTGAATTAAGACTTAATTCACAGAAAATCTCTAAATTAATGTGATCGAATAACATATATATATATATATATATATTATTTTATTTTCATTGTAATATTGACATGCTTCCATATTGTAAAGCCCCTCAGTGGCACAGCGGTATGTCTACGGACTTCCAATACTAGAAACCGGTTTCGATACCCGTGGTGGGCAGAGCACAGATAGCCCATTGTGTAGCTTTGTGCTTAACTTAAAACAAAACAAATAAAAAACAACCATATTGTAAAATTAACGAAAATCCAAACTCTTTATTAAATAACATAACTTATAAAATTCTTGACAAAAGTTGACCTTTACTCTGTCTTTCTTATATATTTTTTAAAATATTTAGATTTTAATAAAGACAGCTTGTTGTATTTGTATTCTGTTCTCATGGAAAAGTTGCCAAGGTTATCTGACGCTGTTCCTAAATTCGAACTCCTCGCCAGAGGCATGGAAGCCTGTCAGCACCATCCTACAATCGACTATTACTCTTATAACGCACTTACAACGTAAAATGCCGGGAATATTTTGTGATATCGCACCAATTCGAACACAGTTGCCAGATTCGAACTCCAGAGCTCTCCCACAGGGCCAACTCGTGCCAGTAGTAGAAGAGAATCATCTTCTCCTTTATATTTCTCGAAAGTAAGCTTTCGAGCTAACACACACTAGTTGTTTTGACAATGGCTAGAATGTTTTGTAAAGTTATGACGAAATACGAATTTTGGAAACAACTGTGCTTTCAAAATAAGACCAAAGTGTAATTTTGAAATATTGTTAATATAGCTAGCCTGAAACTGAAGTAAATATACAAATATGTAAACTGTGCTCTAAAAAACCTTAGGATATGTTATATGGGCTATCTGTGCTCTGCCCACCACGGGTATCGAAACCCGGTTTTTAACATTGCAAGTCTGCCGTCGTACCGCTGTGCCATTGGGGGGGGGGGGCTCCATAGACGGTTGGCAGATAGTCCACAGTATTCACCGCCATCTATTGGGCTATTCTTTTTATCGGAATAGTGAGATTTGACAGTCACTCTTATAACACGTTCACAGCCCTAAAGTGTGGAACACGCTCTTTGTGACAACGGGTCTCGAACCTTGAAACCTCCAATTCACAGTCCGGGCCCGTCACCCTATAAAACCCCGTTTTAAACACTTTTTTTTAAAGAAATGTCTGACAATTATACTGTCTAATAACCATAAAAGTAAAATAAATTAAATCATAAACAAAATTAAAGCGTCCAAAAACCGTAAGATGTGTTTTATAAAATATTTTACAGGTTTGAGAAGAAAGCCGTAATGAATGAAGTAACAGCTGAAAATGTATTTCTACTTTGGAAAGGTACACTTTCATTGGACAATATAACATTACATATAAATGAAAATATTTGTATCTTTTCTGTTTTATAATTTACTTTTAAACCCTTGAAATTCTTTTAGGCAGGATTACAGTAAATTAATCTATAAGACCTTGGGCGCGGTCAAATACATCAATCGAAAGGGTTTGACCTCCTGAATTGTTTGTTTGTTTTTGAATTTCTCGCAAAGCTACACGAGAGCTATCTGCGCTAGCCGTCCCTAATTTAGCAGCGTAAGACTAGAGGGAAGGCAGCTAATCATCACCACCCACCGCCAACTCCTGGGCTACTCTTTTACCAACGAATAGTGGGATTGACCGTCACATTATAACGCCCCCACGGCTGAAAGGGCAAGGATGTTTGGTGGGACGGGGATTCGAACCCGCGACCCGCAGATTGCGAGTCGAGCTCCTTAATCACCTGGCCGTGCCGGGCCCTCCCGAAATGAAAACTGCAATTATATTTCAAATTGGTCAAGAGATGATGGGGCTATAAGCTAAAAGTTTGTACTTGATAAAAATAAAAACACAGAGCCATTCTATGAGCCACGGTTAAAAGTGATCGCTGTTGAAAACAAACACCCTGTCACAAATGTGTCGAATATCAGCACATAAGTTACGTTTCATCGTTGGAAAAAATGCATTTTTCAACTTAGCAATTATTTTAAATTTATTGTGCACGAATGATATGCATTGATGAAGTGTCAAGCGACAGTTTATTAAGGACGTTTTTAACGCAGTAAAAAAAAAAGAAACTTGCTAGTCTTTATTTTGGGAACGACACAACGCACTCTTCCACTGGTATCGTTTAGAACCATTACGTAAACGATGCACATTTTTCAGTCTTATTACTTAGTGTAAATCACACGTCATTGTTCTTTCTATAATAACGAATTACGTATCAAGGTTTGGAGGACTCTTGATGTTTTGTTAACTTTAACGAATATATTCTAGTCCTACCAGTCAAACAGTGAGCATTAAAGCTGCTTAGATCAAATATTATATAGCTCTGCTATTAAAATACATTACACACAGACTTAATTATTCATAAAAAAAAGTCAACGACTCGCTGAGACTTGAATATCTAGAGATTATCTAACGAAGAATTGGAAAATACAATTATTATTTCGATGAGAAGTTTCGTAGTGATTACGTTTTACTAGCTCCAGGAGCATTAGCTTATCTGAGAACGGTTTTGTAATGACCTTAGCTGATTTCCCCCATTAATTCAGTCAAGTCAATTTTTGCTAGGTAATTAAAACTTGAAAAAAAAAAAGAGATGGCTCGGAACAAAATGAAAAATTCTATGCCATTGTGTATGATTCATCATCCAGAACCCGGATTAAACAGAGTGAATGGTATGATGTTACTTCAAATGGTTGCATCAAAACGTCATAGTTAATAACACACATTTCAAAGTTTGGCTTAGAACGTAGATCTTTAATGGAAACTTTCAATGATACAACGACTTTCACGTAGTAATAAAAACGTAGAACTTCAGTGGAAACTTTCAATGGTACAACGACTTTCAAGTAATAATAAAAACGTAGAACTTCAGTTGAAACTTTCAATGGTACAACGACTTTCAGTAGTAAAAAGAATGTAAAATTGCAATGAAAACTTTCAATGGTACAACGACTTTCAAGTAATAATAAAAACGTAAAACTTCAGTTGAAACTTTCAATGGTACAACGACTTTCAAGTAGCAATAAAAACGTAGAACTTCAGTGGAAACTTTCAATGGTTCAACGACTTTCAGTAGTAAAAAGAATGTAATACTGCAGTGAAAAAGGTCAATAATACAACGACTTTCACGTACCAATAAGAATGTAAACCTTCAGTGGAAACTTTCAATGGAAAAACGACTTTTACGGTTAGCGTTCCGTTACAGTAAAACAACAACAACAAAAGAAAAACGTGCTCCTCACTTTGAAGTCATGGTGTACTATAAGTGAAAAGATCAAAGACGAAACTAGTCAACAGTTAACGGTGGGTACTATTGACTTGGTGCTTGTACTTCATAGTCTCTCAGTTAAAAAATAGAAACGTGTAGCCAAACACAGGGGGACAAAAACCCTGTAGAAGGCTCTGTGACTCAAACAAGTGCGTTTTAAATTTAAAACTGTTACAAAGTTTTATTTCTTCATATATTTAAATAAAACAACTTTAACCCTATTAAAGGTTGAGTTATATTTTCAGCCAATGCGAAGTTGATGTATATCAGTAATATGCACTCTATAAACAGTCTTAATAATTCTAAATAAAACAACTTTAACCCTATTAAAGGTTGAGTTATATTTTCAGCAAATGTGAAGTTGATGTATATCAGTAATATGCACTCTATAAACAGTCTTAATAATTCTAAATAAAACTATCTGTTTAACATAGTTCATTTCTAGCAGTGTTTCTAACAATACATTTTGTTCTTATCTGATCCGAGATGTTACTGGTCTACACGGGTTTTTTAACAGAAAATCTACCGAAATAAAAAAAAAAACTTATTTAAAAAACACAGTAGTACTTCTTTGCATGGCACATTAAACTTACTTACTGATCTTCGTAACCAGATCAAATGTTGATTTGATGAAAGAATATTTTTAGATACCGAACGGATGAAAGTGAGCTAACGAAAAGTATAAATCTATTTTCAAGAGTATATATATATATATATATAACATTAACACTTAACGAACTAGACATGATACAATGATGAACTTATATACGTACGTGCACACACACGGCGCGTATATACCCAATTATCGTATATATGAGGTACTTAAATGTTACCCCCAGTGGCTCAGCAGGATGTCTGCGGACTTACAACGCGAGAAACCGTGTTTCGATAGTGGTGGTGGGCAGAGTACAGATAGCCCATTGTGTAGCTTTGTGCTTAACTTCAAACAAATAAAAAAAAACCTAAACGTTATTTTACAGGTAACATAGATAACTCTCATATTTGAACATTTGATTATCAGATCAATCTCTATCTCTCTAAATCTTTCCGAAAATCTCAAAATCCTTCAGTTTAAATCTTGATTGGTGGGCCTGGCATGGCCAGGTGGTTAGGGCGCTCGACTCGCAAACTGAGGGTCGCGGGTTCGAATCCTCGTCTCACCAAACATGCTCGCCCTTTCAGCCGTGAGGGCGTTAGAATGTGACGGTCAATCCCACTATTGGTTGGTAAAAGATTAACTGAAGAGTTGGCGGTGGGTGGTGATGACTAGCTGCCTTCCCTCTAGTCTTTCACTGCTAAATTAGGGACGGCTAGCGCAGATAGCCCTCGTGTAGCTTTGCGCGAAATTCCAAAAAAGCTAAATCTGTATTGTCCAACTGATGGTTCATGAGGCAGTTTCAATTCGCCTACCAAATACCAGGTAAAAATAAAAAATAAATAATAAGTAAACTACAAAGATAGCTTATGTTTGTAGCCTTTGGCTTTGAGAATTACTAGCTTAACGTTTGTCACGCTGTACTGCATTTATCTGGTGCTTAATACCGATGAAGTTAAATAGAGCCATGTTAATTTTTTTCTTAATAACTATTGTCCGGCCTCCTAAAACTGCACTCAAAAAACAGTGTGACCCACCACTGGCACAGAGTT